TTTATGAATTTTTAATATATTTTATTTAATTTTAAATTTTTTATAAGAAAAAATATTACGTAGTATTTTACAAATATTATATTAATTATTTATTATATATCTATGATTTTTATTACTTTTACAATTTTATTATGAATTAAAATCTTTCATTATGATTGTATTTTACTCTTAGTACGTAGTATGTCTCTAGAATTATATAAGCAAATTATATAAGCATGAATGTTGTTAGAGGTATAACTGTCCAGAGATAAATGTTCATGTCTTCATCTGCTTTGCTCAATTGTACCGACGGCATATTTAGTTAAATAAATCAAACATGTGTGACCGGGTAAAGGATTACACCGTAAGATTTGTCGTTAATCTCATACAGTCACACGGAGTAATTAATCCTCCGTACGTTAGGACTAAATCCTTCCTCTCTCGTTTGCCCGACCCTCCCTCTTCTGGTTTTCAGTTCAACCAAGCAGGCAATAAAATTGATGCACCAACATGTGGTGCACTCAAATATAAATTGTCTAGGAGTGTTGTTTGCTAATCTACCTCGTCTTCTCTCCCGAAGGGTAAGTAGGTGCATCCCTTAATTTTGTTAATTTGATAAACTTAAGTCTTATGTTTGTGAATTTGATAAATTGCTTTAATTTTTTATTTACATAGCCATGATAATTTGTGAAGTTGTGCTCATAGTTGGTGGTTTATAGCTTGATCTGAGGTCTAAACCAAGCTGCTGCTTCGACTATGTTCATACGGTGTAAGAGTGTGGCGATTAATTCGGTGGTCACCGGGTTGGAGCAGAGAGCGGAGGTTTCCTACCAGTCTTCCAGATGCAGAGCAGCGAACGGTGTTCCCTCTGGCGTCCAGGCGAGTACCTTAATTGATGATGGCTCCACTATCGAAAATCAACCCGCGTAAAACGTAATCCTGAACACACATTTTCTGTTCCTCTATTAAGTTTATATTCAGACAAGATGTAGGACGTAACCTTCCCACTGATTTATCTTCCTCCCGCTCCTTTACTCCATGATAGACCAATTAATCTTAATTATCTGAAATTGTGGATTCCTATTGCCGGTTTAGTAGATCCAAACGAGGTATGCTTTTCATTTGACATCTTCTCATGTATATGACTTCGATTTCTGTGTTGATGATATATTGCACTCTTTAGTATAAAGAGCTTTTGTATTTCATATCAGTTTCGTTGCAGGGTTATACTCACGAGATCCATAGATCGAGATAATTTTTCACTTCAATTTTAGTAGCTTTCGCAAGTATCCGATTACTTATCATATGTATATTTATGCTCCGTATATACATATTCTGCTTGGGTAATCGCTAGGTCAAGATTCCTTGCTTATTGATTACTTCTAAAATTCCTACAAGACAAATTCAATCAGCATATACCTCTAAAGCAACAAGAAAAAGGAAGTGGTAGCTACATCTGAACCGACCCTATCCACCTTTTTACATGAAATGGAGAGATGAATTGATATATTGATTGAATCCATCGGGACTGATGGGGCACGAACGATCTCCCTTGATCAATGGGTGGATTCAAGAGGCGCTCAATTTCTTCTTTCACCTTCTTCATTTTGACCGGACAACTGGATGCGAATCTTGCTCTACCATCTCTTTATTTCAAAATAAATAAATGATGATTCAAGCGGGATTCGGCATTTTTTAACATTTGAAATGTGTTTTTCTTTTCTTTTCTTTGTTGATTCCCTCAATGAAATTTGCCATGTTGCACTAAGTTACTTACGGATGTATGCACTTAATAGATTGAAGCTGTGAGAGAATCTGTAACGGATTAAGCTGGAACACCGCTTCTCGGCCCACCACTTCTGAGATGCAATCAATAGATTGAAGTTGGGTCCTCCCCTTCTCCTTAGGGAACCATATGGCGACTGGAAAGAATTTTATTCTCCTATCTTTAAAGTTGTTGTAACGGATTAAGCGCTAGAACACCCGAATGTCCTTACTCTCAAGGCTACATCCTTCACCAGATTAGGGAGGAATTCAAGCCTCAACAACTGAGCTTATCCATGCGGTTATGCACTCTTTGAACAGGAATCCGTTTAATCCGAGATTTCCCCGAAACAAAATCTTTGAAAAGTGGGTTCCCCTCCAAGGTGTGAAAAAGGGAGAGATCTCTATTCAAATCAAACGAAGAGTTCCTGAAAATGAGAAGAAACCGAGCTTCGGCTCTAAGTCTTCCGTAGCTAGAGCACGCCATAATATTTCTAACCAGGTAATGGAAGCTAGGTCTCTGCCATTTTTACATAACTTATACACAGTAGTATAAGTTAAAAAGACAGAGCTTTGGATCTAAGAAGCTTTCTATACAATTGTGAGATAATACTTTAATTTGTTTTCTATTTTTAGATATATAAAAGATCAAACTGATGCAGACAGATGGCTGATGAGGATAATGATGCTATGCTTTACTCCCTTTGGGTGAAGGTATTTCTAATCCTAGCATACAAGTTTATTCAAAGAATTGTTTTAGTATGAAAACGAAATCCCTATTCATAGATTTGCAACTATTTTTTATTGGAAGGGTTTATTTTACTGTTTTTTATAAAATGGAAATCTTTCTATTTCCTAACAGCTGGACTATTATGATTTATTTTCATATGAATCCCTTGTGGTTCATATGAATCCCATGTTCTTTGCGGAATTCTATTAATACAGCTTATTGTGGTTCATTTGAGTTAGTGTGATGATTATTTTATTGTTGTCATATTTGCTTTATTTAATTTGTTGGTGCAGGTTTTGTTTAGTTAATTATTTCTTGCAAAGGGATTCCATTCCTCCTTAGAGAATGCATACAAAGAAAGGCTGAGTAAGGAGCAACCATAAGCTTTTTATCTCTTATGCACTGTTTGGTTATCTTTTCATTGATACCGACCTCTCTCAGTTTATTGCTGCTGATAAGCTACGTTGCGCGATCGACAAAGTTACTGCAATGTTAGAAACAAACTGCCCTGATGCTAAGAATGCCCTATACCAGGCCATGACCACCATTAAAGTATTAAACAAGGGGATTTCTTGTTGAACCGAATCCAAAAGCTTTCGCGAGTTATTGATCTTAAAGGCATTATCCTCTTGCTCTAGCACAACCATTCCAGATGTAGTCATTCACCTCCCCTTGAACATCGAAATATGATTCAATTTTATTCTGTAACAAAAGAAAAGACCCAATCTGATTCCTTTTGTTATTGTTTGTTTGTTTGTTTGTTTTTAATGAGATGCATTCAGAATTGTGCTATGTGAACGTATTACCACTTATCTTACTCTTCTAAAAAAAATACACTAATCAAGTTCAAGTAGTAAAACAATAAATTGATAGTTACTCAACCTAAACCGAGGAATTAATATCCCTACAATTGTCTTGAGCATTACCACGAACGCGCGTTGCGCGTTATAAAACTAGTTTTAAAATATGAGTGATATGGTCCTATTTGAGAACAAAAATATAAGAAGTCCTATTTTTTATTTTTACCCTAGCCTTACTCCTATTTGAGATAATTTTTACTCTAAAATGTAGAATTTGATCAAATAAAATAATAAGCGCAAAAAATCAAATCAAATCGAACTTAATCGAACCTAATAATTTTCAATTTGATAAATCGAGCTTTAAATCAAATCAAATCGAAGGAGAACTGAAACCAAATGGAAACACAGGTGGTTTTAGAGGGTGTTTGGAGCCCAAAAATGGGCTTATAAGCCTGAAAATCTAAAAATATGGTCAAACACAAAGCAAATGAGCTGTTTGGGCTGAATTTAAAAAGCAAGTATAGAGTTACTTTTTGAGATGAAAATGATTTATATACAGTTGGAAATGAAAAATACTCTTTTACCCTTCAATTTTACGCCTTTGTTGCTTCGTTGCTTCCTGATCAATGACGAGAAGAACCTCCAACTGCGCCATAGGTTTGTCCTTCAAAATCGGTTACTTCCGGCTCGGCTGCTCCATAGTTTCGGCATTCCAAATCGACGACTTCTTGATCGGCTTCTCTATATTCATCTAAAGGTAAGTTCAGTTGTCCTTCATCTTCATATTCAATCATTAGCAGACACACTATTCTTAAATCTTCTCTTCAGGTAAGCTTCTATTGTTTTGGTCTTAAAGTCCGACTATTTACCAGAAAATCTTCTCTTCACTTCCTCTTAGCAAGGATCAAATAATTCAAACTACAATTTCCTCTCTTTATTTGAGCAAAAACAGCAGAAGGAATAAAATTTCTCTAGTTTTTCCTTTTATTGAATTGCTCCAGAATATAAAAATCATCAGGATCACCGCCATGTCTGCTATGTTTTTATTATTTTAACAACTTTTTCTGATTTTATTGAGAACTATAAACGTAAAAAAATCCTTTAAACAATTCAAGGTATGATAGTGGTCTATGAACACATACTTAGGACTCATTTTGTGTATGATTAATAACATATTCAGATTGTCACTGATTTTGAATTTTCTACAAAAAAAATAAATAATACTAATGTCGCTCATTCGAAAATACGCATTTTTCGGTAAGTAGTATACAAAACATAATAAAATTCGACGTAAGAGTAAGTCTTATATTTACCTAATAAGCAAAAGTAGTTTATTACTAAAATTCACACCCATACATTTAACACAAATAAGCTAATACCCTTTATAGTAATTTTACACTCAATCAACCATTTCAGCCAGCATATTACCAAACACTTTCACTTCAACAAAATCAGACTTTTCAGCCATTCGAGCCAATGCAGCAGCTACCAAACAAGCTCTTAGTTTGGTATAATATCCCCCAAATCGAATAAACTAAAATCAAAGAACTCTGAACCGTAAGCCGAATTGTCCAGTCCTAGTATCAAATCTCTCAACCCGTTCGAAACTGAATCAAACCTGTTGGTCCAAAATAGGACGCTCGTAGGCTTTTAGGAAAGCTATGTACGACACTCAAGCTGGAATTAGGAAAGAAAGAACGAGAATGGAAAGTAGCTAGGAGATTTAGTTGCTAGAAATAGCATATAGAATTCGCTTCCCATAATCTGAATAACAATCCTCCTTTTATAGGCGTATACAAATCGTAACCGCTACCGATAATAATAACTAATTAATTACAACATTAATACAGAATTAAATACATAATTAATAGTGCATTGATTGTTTGACCGTTACTCTTCCGGCCTGGGAGGTCGACCGGACTGGCAGGCTCCCCGCTGGACTGGTTGGCAGGCTCCAGGTTGTGGACTTGGATCCACGGGTCCAAGTTCGAGGCTTGGGCTGATTAGTCTCCGGACCTAGTCCCATTAATCCATCAAAACCAAAATCGATAAAAAGCGGATTCAAAACCAATATGGCTACATCTAACTAAGTCATCTCTAGAGGGAAAAGTGTTCCTCTATTCTACTGGGGTCCTAATTATTTGAAAGAGAATGTAGAAAAAATTCATAATAGGATCCAATTGCAAATGAGACTTGGCCCTGAGTGTGAACTTGTGGAGTCGGAGTAGCGCTGCAAAAATAAAAAGCAAGAACAATTTTGGAAACTTCTTCAAATTAGGTCCTATTTAGGAGTAAAAAAAGTCAATGTCTTATTTTATAAGGAATAAATGTATTTAGATTTTGATGATGCTAGATTAATTAGAATTTTAAAGTACCACATTAGCAATTTTGTAATGGAGAAGACACCATTTCGAGAAGTTAAGCTCCTACTACCTCCGTCCCATTAGAAGGTTCCCGTCCACTATTCACATGGTCAACTTAAATCATTTTTTATCTTTTACTTTATAAATCAAATTTTTATCAAATTTACACTTTTTTTATCAGGCTTTGTAGCGGTTTTAATGTAGTTTCTGAATATATTAATTTTATTTACTAAAACTAATCAGAGTGTGAACAGGGATTAAGTTGATTTATCGTCAGTCAAGCATCGTAAACCGTTCACGGGAACCTTCTAGCTAGACGGGGGAGTATTTAGCACCATTTCTCTTTCAAGTAATACACCACTGGATGGGAACATCAAGATAGTACGATTTTAATATGAGAAGTTGAACACCTTTTTTTGTGGAGTTATGGGCCACTCAGATAATCAGTATGACAAGCTCTTTGAGTTATGGAATGCAGATTTGAGAGTTGAACGAAAGAGGACACGCAATTCTCGATTAATCTTCTTCCATGGTGTATAACTGGAGATTTTAATGACCTAAGTCAACAGGAAAAGAGGGGCAGAGCGGAAGTTCCTGCTTGGTTAATCAATGGCTTTCTAGAGGTTGTACGGGAGAGTGGGTTAATTATATTCCGTTGCAAGGGAGACCATACATCTGGTGGAGAAGCTTAAACACAGAGGATGCAAGGGAAGAAAGGGTTGATAGGGCTATGGCTACTGAAATGTGGCTCCAGAGATTTCCATTGAGTAACCTAACTAATGTGGTTGCTTCACACTCGGATCACTCACCTATATTGCTGTTAACAGAGCCGAAAGTGGTGACCTTTAAGCAGAGGAGTTTCTGGTTGGCTTAGCCAGAACTAAACAAAGCTGTCGAGGATGAGTTTAACTTACCAAGCTCGAGAAGTGTACTGCCAGACTTGATTCTTCGGGCTGTAAGTTGAGACACAAACATTTTGATGCTATTGGTAAGTGCAGAACTAGGCTGGAACCAGCGAAGAACTCCACAACGGTAGAAGCTGGACGTGAATCAATGATCCTTCAGGGGAACTTGCGAGGCTATTAGCAGTTAGCACAGGAAGAGTCCTTTTGGCGTCAAAGAGGCAAAGAGCAAAGGTCTTTTGGATGCGGGACGGGGACATGAACACTAATTTTTTTCACGCAGTAGCTACATCCACAAGGAAAAAGAACATGATCAATAGCCTGATAGCGGAGGATGGATCTGTGGTATCCTTCAAAGAGGGGCTTGCGCACAGTTGTGCATGAGTACTTTACTAATTTATTTAAACCTGGTGATGCAAATTGTGTGCAGGTGCTGGATAATATTATGCATTGTGTTGATGAAGAGATGAACAGAGGCCTCACTGCTCCTTTCCAAGATGACGAGTTCAAAATGGCTATTTTTCAGATGCATTCGGATTCGGGGACTGATGGGCTGAATCCAGCATTCTATAAGAGATTCTGGTCACGAAGTGGTTCGGAGATAAACTAGACGTGTAAAATGTGGCTTGAACAAGAAAGGCTTCCCGAGGTGATTGGGGAAACTAACATTGTTTCAATCCCAAAGTGTGATATTCCTGGCTCGATGAGTGATTTAAGGCCTATCTCCCTCTGCAATGTCATCTTCAAAATGGTTTCTAAGGTCCTAGCTAACAGACACCAAAAATACTCCCAAAGTGCATCCCAAGTGAACAATCGGGCTTCATATCAGGTCGGTCTATCTTAGACTACAATGTATTGATTGCTAGTGAGATAATACATCATCTAAAGTGCAAAACGAGAGGAAACCGGGGTGCACCAGCTCTTAAGATTGATATAAGTAAAGCGTATGACCGAGTTGATTGGGGTAATCTTTTCTCTGTTCTTGAGAGGATCAGCTTGAAATGGATTTCCTGTATGAAGATGTGTGTGACTACGGTAAGGTACATGGTTTGCATTAATGAAGAAAAGGTTGGACCAATAGTACCTCGGAGAGGCTTGCGACAGGGGATCCACTATCCTCCTATCTGTTCATCCTGTGTGCAGAAGGGCTCTTGGCTCTAATTTGCCAGTACGAAAGGAGAGGTGCTATGCACGGAATTAATATATGTAGAGGAGCTCCTACGATTAGTCATCTTCTTTTTGCAGATGATAGCTTCTTGTTCTTTCAAGCAGAGGCGAGGGAACTCCTAAAAATGCACCAGATATCCAAGTTGGTTTGGGAGCTTCTCTCTCCAGGGCTTTGATATTTCAAAACTACTGGATGCCAACTTCATAGAACACTAATGATCCAGAAATCAACCTCTTTGAATTAAATCCTCTGGCTTTCAAGAAGTTTACATTCCCTCCTTCCCCAATGGAAAAGGAAAAAGCCACGCGAAGAACCATAAGAATCCAAATAACTCCAGGAAAGGAGGGGAAACTAGCTCTAGTGCAGAAGAGAAGAACCATACCTGTGAGAAAGACAAGGAAATGAATGAACATAACCGTTCACACCTGGAAGTTGTCGAGGAAACTGATGAAACTGAAGAAATGATTGAAATGGGGGATGAAAATATTCCAGCCGTAAACATTAACAAAGACCAATATTCTATTGAACACCAGGTGTTTGACTTAAATGCTGAACCAGAAAAGGAGACAAGTAGCAAGCCGTCGTGGGTGGGACTTTTCAAAGACAACAGAGCACCACCAAGAGGAATGAAACTTAGATATATACCTACTGATGGTGATTTTGTTGACCTGAGCATCGGTGAGCCACAAAATATGGTTGACGTATGGGGGTTCTGCCTTGTTGGTTTTTTCACGGGAAGATTTCCGGGATTAAAAGCTGTATACAAACTTATGGAGACATGGGATGTGAGATGTAAATTGCTGCCTCACTCCAGGGGGTGGCTTGTTTTTCGGTTCAAGACAGAAGAGGACAGAACTAAAGTACTTCTAAGTGGCCCCTATGATATTATGGGAAGAATGTTGATGCTTAAGGAACTTTCTGAAGACTTCACTTTTGAAGAAGAGGAATTTCTAAAGGTCTCCATATGGATCGAGTTTCCTAATTTGCCTGCACAGTGCTGGAATGAAGAAAAGATCAGTCTTATTGCCTCAAAGGTTGGTCAACCTATATACACTGATGGTGATACCAATGAGACTAAGACTATGCCCGAGTTTTAGTTGAAGTGGACATTTCTAAGCCACCCCCTCTAAGAGTCAAACTAAGACTGAGGTCTGGTAGATTTTTCACTCAGTATGTAATTTATGAAACATTCCCAAACTATTGCTTCCATTGCAAAAAGTTTGGGCACCACTCCTTTATTTGTAAAACCTTGCATGAACTGGAAAAGAAACAATATGTAGAGGAGGAAAGGAAAACGAAGGAACTATTGTTAGAAGAAGTAAGGAGAAATGTCACGGGAGACAAGCTTCGTGGAGATATGATCACTCAAACAATGGAGGTCGGGGTTAATATGGATGCCCAAAGGGAGATGACATCAAATCAGGCTACAAAAGCACAAGATGAAACCCCTAAAGCTCAGGATAAGATACCTAATATAGAGACACAATTAGTTACAAATGATGAACAAGGGGTATTAAAGGATGTATCACAAACATCTTCTGAGACACCTGAAATGAAAGGGGATGAGAGGAGCTGTCCTATAAGCTTAGAAAAGGGCTCTATTGCAACAGATCATAAAGAGCACAAGGTAGCAGAAGGGGTTGGGGTGGTAAAAAAGGTGACAGATATGAGATACACTTCCTCTGGTCAGAAGAGTAGTGTACAACCTGACACTAAGACTAGAGTTAAACCAACAGGTAGTACAACTATCACTAGCCTAAAACCAAACCTTGGCAATAGTGACCATGGAATATTAGTGGTGGAGGAGGTACTACCTTAAACATATGTCCTTGATGAAAATGCTTTCGTGGAATATTAGAGGACTAAATAGAGCCTCTAAAGTAGATAATATTACTCCCTCCGTTCTTTTTTAGTTGCAACGGTCAGCATTTCACATTTGTCAACGCACGTCTTTGACCGTAATTATATCTTAAAAAATACTCCCTCCATCCCTTAAAACTTTGCCAACTTTCCTTTTTTGGATGTTCCACTAACTTTGCCACTTTCCCTTTTAAGTAAAGAATTTGTGGTTCCAGTTAATTCTCTCTCCTCTGCACAAACCTCAACCACACAGTTTTTCCTTTATTAATCCCCGTGCCGGTCAAACTTGACAAAATTTTAAGGGACGGAGGTAGTAATTTTCATAAAATAGTAGCGTAAAATGTAGTCAAAGTAGATCATGTGAATAGTGTAAAATTCAACATGTTGCGATTAAAACGGAACAAAGGATAGTATTGAATATGTTAGGAAGTATGATATTTCTCTATGTTGTCTTTTGGAAACCAAACTAAATGGTAGTCAGTAGCTTGACCCTTATGGCAGCTACTAGATTCAAGGGTGGAAGGCTGAAAATAATTTTCACAGATTGGTTGGTGATAGGATTGCCATACTATGGGATCCTACGAGGATTCATTGTGAAGTGTTAGAGGTAGACACACAGTTCATCCATTGCAAGATACAGTGCTTGATCACGCAGTTGTCTTTTGCTGCCACCTTTGTATATGCTCTGTACACTGTAGTCGAGCGAAGGCAACTTTGGGATCAATTACTACTCTTGGGCTGAACACAAATATCTCATGGGTTATTATGGGGGACTTCAATTGTGTATGCTATCCTAAGGAGATAAGAGGAAGCAAAGAACCTGCGGACTATTTCACAAAAGATCTGATGAATTGTAGAAACATCCTTAACTTGGAGGATGCTCCATCTACTGGAAATGAATACACCTGGAACAGAGGGAACCGATGGGAAAAATTGGATAGGGTTCTTATGAATCAGATTTGGAGGGCTAATGGTTTGAACTGTGTGGCAAATTTCTTGGAATTTGATGACATATCTCATTTCTGACCATTGTCCTACCATCATCTCCTTGTTGACTAACGAAAAAGGTAGGCACAAGCCGTTTAAATTTTTCAACATGTGGATGAATCACCCAAAATTCAAGGAAGTACTACAAGAGGTATGGGGCACAAATATTGAGGGTTAATGCCAATTAAGATTATGCTCGAAAATGAAGTTACTCAAGGGGCCTTTGAAAAATATCAACAAAACAGAATTTGCGCACATCTCTGCTAAGACAAAGGATGCTAAGCATAATTTTAAACACCTCGAGAGCTTACTAAACTTGGACCCAGATAACCCTAGTATCATGGAACAAGTGAAAGCTGCCAGGCAAAAAGCTACCTTCTTGTTTGAAGCTGAGCTCTCCTTCTTTCAGCAAAGAGCAAAGATCACACACCTAGTGGAGGCGGACAAATGCACCAAATACTTTCATGCTATTACAAAAAGAAATGCCGCCAGAAACTGCATTGCCTCAGTAGTGAAAGGAAATGGCCAGAAGACCACCTCATACGATGAAGTCATCAAGGAGTTTACACACTATTCTGAGAAGATTGTAGGCACTGATGCCCCTAGTAAGAATTTGGAAGAAAATGTTATAAAAAGAGGCCGACTAGTTGACCAAACCATGTCACTGAAACTAATTGAACCTGTCACACAACAAGAAGTGAAGGACGCCCTTTTTTTATATTGGGGAGGATAAGGCACTCGGGTCTGATGGTTACTCATCTGGATTCTTTATAAAGAATTGGGAGCAAATCGGGAATGACTTTACTGCAGCGATCATAGAATTCTTTTATCATGGAAAACTCCTGAAGCAACTCAATCACACATCTATATCCTTAATCCCTAAAACTTCACATAACCCATCCGTCGCAGATTTGAGACCCATTTCCTGTGCAAATGTTACCTACAAAACAATATCAAAGATCTTGACCAGAAGAATGGGACCCCTCTTTGCTGATATTATAAATCCCGCTCAAAGTGCTTTTGTGGAAAGGAGAAGGATTACTGACAATGTCCTTCTAGCCCAAGAACTAGTTCGGGATTATTCCAGGAAAGCTATTTCACCCAGATGCCTTCTGAAAGTTGATCTTAAAAAGGCTTATGATACAATTTCTTGGAAATTCATGAAAGACCTTTTGAAGACTATAGGCTTCCCCTCATTTTTTTTTGGATGAAAGGTAATTGTATTAAAACACCCAAAAATAACAAGTACATGTGTCAAAAACCAAAAAGCTAGCTAATCTAACTAAATAGTGTCACTACCATTCAAACCCCCACTCACCCAAGAGAGGGGGGTTGAGAAAGAATTTTTTAGGTGAAAGGTCCAAAACGGCACAGGACAAGCCTTGGCTTGTATCAAGAAAAATCAAAAAGATTGTCTACCGTCCACAAAGCCCAAAGGATCTGAAGCAATGAAGCCTCATCCTCAAAGTGAGCTCTACTCCAGACTCCAGTAGTCCAGCAACTGCCCAGCAGTGTCAAAGAAGACCAGATGGACCGGCCCGTGTAATATTCCCCAGCTGGAAGCTCATCAAGCTAGCCCAAACACCCCAACCTTATCCCAGCGGGCTAGGGTTTGGCCGAGTTCATGGCCCAACACCTCCAGCCCAGCATATTCTTCTTTCATGCGCCGCACCAAAGAAGCGGCTAGTCAAACAATTCAAACATGAACAGTAGATCGCGACAGCCTGTCCAATCAAACTGCAGACACGTCAGTTTCTCGCAACCCACCACCGCTAGGTTCCGGCGTCCTCCCGGCGGCAACGGTGGGACAGGAAATCCAGCCGGAAACGTAACCAAGCCAACCCAAAACTCCCCCCTTCTCTCCTCACCCCCGTCGACCCAGCGGTGAGAACTAAACAAATTTTAATCAAAAGAAACAAAAGAAATGATACTAAGAGACATGAAATAAGATAAAATTACACTAGGGAGACTAAGGGCTAGAAAGTTTTAATTGGGTTTGGCTATTACATAGCATTGGAAATTTAAAAATAACCTACTAATTTCAACCGGGACACCGGGACGGGACATGATATTTTATAGTTATCCTGGTCCCGTCCCGGTTAATATCGGTACGGGACCAGTTCGGGATGAAAAAATTGAATCCTAAATGGATCGGGATGGTTTTGGAACGGTATCGAGATTTTTCGGTTTGGGACACCGGGACCGGGATTTATGCCCACTCATAGGAGGCTCTGTCCGGCCGTCGCCATTCGGGGCGGTTCTCAATGGAATTTTTTTGATGATTTTTTTGAACATCTTATTCATTAAGACTAGTTTACTCATACCAAATTTTAGCTAAAACTTCAATCGAGAAGACATTCAAATGAAGTCTCGAAAATAACTACGCAGTTATCTTCAAGAATTCATTTAAATACCTTCGCGATTCAAGTTTTAGGTGAAATTTGATATGAGCAAACAAGATTTAAGTGGTCCTCATGCAGGTCTTTCGTGCATACATTTCTCTGTTTCTTTACGGATTCCCGGCTGGGCCAAGGCCGGAATATGGAGTTTGCAAAAATAGTTACGTCTTTATTTTGATGTTATGCTTATTTTTATCACATTTCACAAATGCTTATTTTTATCACATTTCTCTATTTCCCGGTTTTTCTTTGGATGTCCCGGTCCCATTTTAAATGGGACAACATTGGGATAAAGACTTATCTCGAACCGTACTAGACCTGTAACACCTCGACTCGTAGGACTCGAGGTAATAAATCTAACACCCCCCCCCCCCCCCAGACCTCTAGTACTGTCCTCACAAACCGCCACTAGCCTTTTCCGCGCACTTTGTCCTCACTCGTGCACACCCTGAGAAACTTTCCAGGGAGTCACCCATCCCAAGACTACTCCCGTACAAACATGCTTAACTTTAGAGTTCTAGGGTGATGAGATCCCTTAAAAGGAGATGCATCTTGTTGGTATGAGTAATACTATTAATCCGTTTGAATTAAATCTCAAGTATTACAATCACCCCCACTTAGGAACGCAACGTCCTCGTTGCGCCCATTAACCAATCTCAAATCTCAATCAAATCCTAGAATCCCCCCCCCCCACTAAGTGTCCGCCCGATATCCAACGGGTCAACACACTGTCGCAGGTTTGCTCCGATACCACCTGTAACACCCCGACCCGTAGGACCCGGGGTAGTTACTCTAACACACCCTCCAAACCTCTAGTATTGTCCTCACAAACCGCCACTAGCTTTTTCCGCGCACTTTGTCCTCACTCGTGCGCGCCTTGAGAAACTCCCCAGGGGGTCACCCATCCCAAGACTTGTCACACATCCCAATACTACTCCCGTGCAAGCACATTTAAATTTGGAGTTCTAAGGTGATGAACTCCCTTAAAAGGAGATGCATCTTGTTGGTATGAGTAGTACTATTAATCCGTTTGAATTAAATCTCAAGTATTACAGGACCGTTATTATAATACCGGATCAGGATCGGGATAAGCCAAATCCCGAACCGTCCCGGACCGCACCGACCCATAGAGTCTCCTATATAAGGACTTATTTGACCCTTTTTATGCAACTTCGAGGACCAATCTGACCCTTACCTCCTTATTTCTGACACAGAGGCTATGGTTTTCATGAATTCTCAAAGGCTAATACTACCTGAAAGGGGATTTTACCAGGGCGGATGCGGGCCATAATTCCAGTTTTACTTAGCATAGCATCTGGTCGGCCCAAATAGGGATATCGTTGGAGTATTGGAGATGGTAAGGACATATGTGTCTGGGAAGACTTGTTTAACACAATGGGTGTTATAAAAACGGCCCACGTGTCTGGAATTGAGCGAGATATGAATTTATTAGTAGAAATTTAAATTGGAAAGTTTCCAAAACGTGGGTTTGTGGTGGGGAACATTGTGAGTAGGGGAGAGCAAACTCGATCCTACCCGATTGACCCGATTGAATATATCCGATTTTTTTTGTTGGGGTCGGAAAACCCGACCTAAAATACCTAAACCCGATCCGATTTTGCAACTCGAGACTTAAGCGTGTAGCGGGTAGGATTACCAATTATGCTACCTGACTCGCACGAAAAATCGAACTAGTGTAGTATATATACTACTTTGAATTATTATGCATGTTCAAATATCTCAATTATTGTATGCCAATTACCATATTATGCATGTTCAAATATTCCGATTACCGTATTTATACAACTATAACTTTGAATGTTGTATTGTCATGACTTTGAATGATATTTTGACCGATTATCATTTTATTTATCGTAATATCAAATACGTCAATCACCGTATATTATTATTTTACATGTTCAAATATGTCGATTACCGTATTTATACAACTATTACTTTGAATGTTATACTAGTATAACTTTGAATGATATTTTTACCAATTACCATTTTATTTATCACAATTTAAACAATAATAAATTAAAATCAGAATCGACCCGAAAATCGTATCCAGCCGACCGCAACCCGAATTTCTTCAACCCGAAAAACCCGATCAATTTTTTGATAGGGTAGGGTTTTAAATTATAAATCTGATACCCAAACGGGTTTACCATTTTTGAACCCCATCTGACCGAACCCGACCCATGCTCTGCCCTAATTGTGAGCGACACAAATGTGATGCGATGTCACTTTTTAAAAGTGGAGGGCCCAGCCAATCCCAATCATTCAAATATCTCTATATTAGATTATCGACTCTTCAAATGGTTCTATTTTTTTTTTTTTCAAAGTTCGTACCCCTACTTTTTTCTTCGTAAGATGATAAATAAATAATCACTTTTTAATTCTTACGGAGTATTTAAATTCATCTTGTGTACATGTATTGTTAATGAAGATTCTCATTTTCACATTTTATTTATTTATCATAAAATGACAAAAATATCGGGTTTTAATTTACAAAAGTAACCTTTCATATCGAGACCATCCTCACACCCTCCTTCCTGTGAAATAATAGACCCTGACCGTTCTAGTTCGGGAAATAGGTCCATGGGCATTTATGATGAGTAGAAGACGAAACAAAAAACATGTAAATCTTTAATTTGCGGAGGAAAAATGACATTGTAGAGAATTAATGTATTAAAATGTTTTTACTTTAAGTGTTTTTCAGTCCCAGATCAGATCAGGCCAGAAAATTTCAATCCAATTAAAAAAATCCTAATAATAATTAATGAGTTTAAAGTTCATAAAAATTCATGGTATTAAAAGTTCATAAGAATTAATACAAGTTTAAATACACCTAAACTTATTTAAACTCTTTAATTAAAAGTATACATTCAATACACCTAAATTTGTAAAAGTTCAACGTATATATAACAGTATATTTTAGGATATTGTTCTAAATATAAATATAGGTAGATCGATAGAAATTAGAAAGCTATTACGAACAAATTAAAAACAGTACTATGATATGATAACATATATATCTAGATTTGGAACTAATAGTTGATCTCGTCCATTCTTTAAATTTGGTATCTAAGTTTTGAATGGAATAATAATTCCAATTGTTTAATTTTCTCAATGCATGTAGTATGTATATTCAAATGATAAATGTTAACGTGCCTAATATTATGTCATTATATTCAGTATCAATTCTCAATTAAATTTCTCAGTATATTTATGTTTAAATTTAGAAATAATTCCTAAAATTAGCAGGTATAAATATAGCACATACCAATATACTTCAACAGTTCCACTTCTCATAGTCACAATCACAAATATCATTCGTATTCGTGCTCCTAACAGGTAAATCAAAATTACGCACGCATTATATTATTTTTTATTTTGTTAATGGCTGGCAACTTAGCATCTGCGTTATTCTTTTACTTCAAAGTTTCACTCATACTTTATTAATTTATTCACTCATTGATTCATTCATTATTACAAGTAATTGTAATTGAATCACAAACATTTTGCAAATAGATTGTACTTCATGCTTCCAATAAACACAGCTAATCGATAACCTATTTCTGTCCAATAATTCAAGATTCATAATTGAGCAAAACTTGATGATTTTTAAAATATAACTCAAATGTATATACCCTAAAAACACTTGCATGTTTCTAAAATTGACCTTTTTTGGAATTCATTGAAAAACATAATGCATATTTGTAGTGCTACGTAGTACTAC